TTTAGTTTAAAGCCATGCCCTCTTGTCCTACCATTATCTGCCCCTCTAAAAATTCTCCCTCCCTCATTTGTTATAATCCCTGGAGCCTTCCCTTCTCCATGCTGAACAACTCCAGCTCTCTCAGCCTATGTTTGTAGGAGAGATGTTCCAGCTCTCTGAGCATCTTGGTGGCCTCTGAACCTACTCCAGTAGATCCATGGCTTTCTCATGCTGAGAACTCCAGAYCTGGATGCAGCATTCCAGGTGGGTTTTCATGAAGTCATGAAAGAAGTTTTGAATTATGGTAGCCAGTGTATTGGCACACCTAAATACGGCATTTCTGTGTAAAATTGGGTGTCTCTTCTCAGTAAAGGAAAACTAAGATAAACTTTAGTTAAACTGAGGGCTTGTTACTCATGTAAATTGTGTTGGGGTTCTAGAAATAAGCAGGAATGTTTTTAAATCCTATTCAGATGTTATATGTTGAATGCTTGACAGAAAGGGGTTATGGTGAAAGAGTGACGAAAATGCTAGTATYCTACTGCTCATTTTGTTGTTGTATTAGACAAATCATAGGTAGCAATTGAATAAATTCTTTATAAGCCTTTATTTAGCAGAAACATGCCTCTAAACCCATGCTTGTGATACTTCACAGTTTGGGTAAGTGCAATATTTGACTACATTCAGTATTAAACAAGGTCAGGAATTTAAACCCAGCCCTCTTCAGAAGCACTGTGATTCACTTCCACTCCTACAGAATGGACACAAGGGAATCTGTYACTGGTATTTAAGTGCCTAAGGCACAGTTGGTTTTGGAAACTTGAGAAAATGTTAARTTGGTTCTAACAATAGTTGGCCCTCAAGGGCAGAAGCGGTATTTGCCATGACTTGAGGCTATATATAAAGTCTGTCTCATAATGCCTTGCCCTTTTAATTAAGATCTATTTTTGACCAAAGTATAGATAATGTTAAATTCTATATTGATTTATTTCTGTGACATTCAAAAGGCAGATGATGGTCACTCCAGCATAACTGTGAATATGTACTTAAGCAGTTWAAGTGGTACCCATGTAAGAAAACTCAGTTGCCCTAAAGCTTTATTGGTGCTTGATAGTGCTTCTCCAAAGTTTGATACCGTCTTGCCTGGTTTTTGGGGGAAAAAAATCACAAAAGGGCAGTTACTAAAAAATTTTCACTCTTGAGTATTGAGTTATTGCAATAACAGATGTTATGGAAACAATCCATTAATTGCTATGTTTGCAACAGGATAGTTAATGAGCCAGTAACCTCTGTCACAATACTTTGCATGATATTTGTACTTGCATGCTAGTTAAAGTGTACAATTTTATATATTTATTTTTGTATAGCAGAGGGGAACAGCAAGAAAAGATAATTCCTACCAGTTCACTGTAACACCCAGCATTCTGCAAGATCGGGTTTTGATGAGATCAACTTTAGGAACCAAGTCAAGTATTCCCTACAAATGCCAGAGCCCCTGAAAATGGTAGGAAAAGCTGCTTTGAAACAAGAGAGTGGTTTTAAATCTGCATAAAGCTGGTCTGGAAAGAAAAAGAGGTTGGCATTTGTTGTCTCTGCTGTCCTGTTCACACAGGCTTTGCTCTGCCAGATGGATGAGTGCAACTCCCCCAAGGCTTTCTCTGTGACCTTTGAGAGCGGTGAAATGAAGCTGCACTGATTTGTACCAAAACTTTCCTRTATGTAGCTTGTCTTATTTTCCTGAAATTAAGCTTCTCAGGCAAGGCTGTACATGTATTTCATACTGCTTTTTCTTTCTGCAGTATGAATTAATGTGTGATTAAATGGTTTTCATATAAATCTTTCTTCCCTGGGCTTTTTCCCTGGTTGGAGATGGGAAAGGAGGAAAAAAGGAACACAACAGATGTTGATCATGGTATTTTTGTGTTGCCAGATGATGCTGAGGTGCTTCAGTACCAAGTACAATACTGGGYTCATAAAATATACATATATAACATGCAGGTGTTGGAACTGGTAAATGTTATTGGGTGGATGTGCTGTAGGAAATCTTATACTAAGGATGGGGTCAAGATGTTCTGGAAAGCAAACATTCCTCACTTGGTTCAATAGGATATTGGTATCCTAAGGCCTGTGTTAAAGGTAAAGAAGCAACATTGATGAATCTATCTTATTTCCATGTGAAATAATGGTAGATGCTTTGAAGTTAAGTAGTCATAAAAATACGCTCTGTAGGATATTCCTGCCAATGTTCTCATATCCCACAGTAAATTGGATCAGAATTGTTGTGTGTGCAAGTCTGTTCAGGTGCAGAGTAATGTTCTGACCTAAAACCTCAGAGCATATTTCTTAGATTTTATTTCTATTCACTCCACTTTCCAAGTTGCCCACACAGACCAGTTCTTGTGTTTGTGTGATTCCCTTCCTTCCCCTGAGTCATAATTCTGTGCTTTCAGGAATCCTTGTACACAACTTACTGAAAACTGTCTCTGTGGAAAGACTGGTGAGAGGGTCAGGCTTAGGTTAACGTTTAGCTGTTAATTTTCATTGTGTGAACAAGACCCATTGTGTTCCCCTGTTCTGGAAAGCTTCTTTCCACATGAGTTAGCCCTGCCTAGCTCTCACTTCATCCTTCCTTTTAAAGCTGCATTTCATCTCTGTATGCATTTCAAAGAGAACTGCTAAAATCTAGACCCAAGGTGTCATTTCCATTTTTGAATAAACAGAGTGTGCCATCTCAGACTCCCATAACCAGCTGGGTTCAGAACTAAAACCAGCTGGCAGTGCTCAGAGCCATGTGCTGTGTCGGGACAAGATCTAGCTGAGGTCTGGGAGCMGGGAGTAAGGATAGCTTACAAAACTACTTTGATAAACATCTCTGTTTTTACAGATTCCATGTTTTCTTGGCATCATCTTAGCCTTAGTTTCATCTTCCTGAGGCTTCCTTTGTAGAAACAGCAATACTCTGACACAATTCAGCTCTGTGTAACAAGAATTGTTTGCCTTTTGTACAGGCAGCTCTTTCCTTCTGAATTCCTTAATACTCACAAGGTAAAGCACTGTGATAAATATAAATATAAATATAAATATAAATATAAATATAAATATAAATATAAATATAAATATAAATATAAATATAAATATAAATATAAATATAAATATTTCAGTTCTTGGTGCTTGCCCAGGAATGGCAGTGGAGCCCCTGTTAGCCATAGCATGGTGCCACTGCTGTTAGACAGTTGAAATTCCTGGAAGGTTTTATTTTTAGTTATTTCTAGTTACAAAAACCTAGTCATCACAGTGTGTCTAATGGCATGACTGGCATGGGAGAAGCAGAACTGCCTGATAGGACCTGTGAGACCAAAGCATTTGAATGTCACAAGGCAGGGGCCAGGCTTTCTGTGGAGTGRGGAAGTGGGATGGGATGCTTGTTTGGAGCTGGCTTCAAGTAACACTCAAGGGGCTTAAGCTTAGTCCCAGTTCTTAAGTGCTCCCCTTGTAGCTCACAGGACATCATTCAATTTCCATGAGAGTCCAACTATAACTGCACTGAGCTCCCCTACTCTGCAATATTTAAAAATGGGTATAAAACCATTTGAAAAATGCTCAGGCAAAAGCTGCCACTTCTCATTTAGTACCTCAAGMTCTAAAGCTGATGCTGGAGGCATTGTTTTCCACCTACAAGGTTTTGCAGGCTGCTAAAAGCACAACATGTGCTGGACTTTGCATCTGTACACAACAATTGAATCCAAACCCTAGCCTTGACTACTTGAAACACACACCATGTGCCTTTGCTGTGAGGAATACAGCACAGTGGCGGGTGACCCAAAATGCCTCTTCTCAAAGAAGAACATTGAGGAAATGAAGGCAGAAGCAGGGAATTCCAACAGAAAAAAATTGTGCACRGGCTGCATCTTGCCTGACAGCTCCTGACCTTTCTGTACTTGTAGTAGCAATGATAGCTTGGCATGCAGCAATGATTTATCACACTCTAACTACATTCATATATCCTTAGTTTACCCATGGGGCTGGGTAATTTGTTTGGCACTCCAGTCACCTGCTGATAGATGAGTTACTCCTCTGGCAGACAGTCACCCCAGCCCTTCCTGGGGTGTAGGCACATAATTGGTGCTGCACCCCCAAAATGGGAAGCATTATCCTGACTAAGATACTGAGACAGTCAGAAGCGTCATTGATGTTTCCTTTTCAGCAGGGCCATGGATGTGTTTATCAGAAACAGAATTAACTTGGTCTAGTTTTTCTAGTTCCGGTGCAGAGTTACTTAACAGTATAAAAAACGTGGAGCAGGCAGGAAAAGGAAGGGCCAGGCAGGCTAGCACTTGAGCCRCGCTGATTAGTGTCCCGACTTCAGTGGGTGTGGGAAGAGCTGCACCCAAATAAAGTAACAGGTTTGCAGCCTCTTTGCAGCAGACAGCTGTTTTGAAAATAAACTTAGTAACCAAAATATGGACGCCTAAGGATGAACTGGTACAGGTGGGAAATGTAATGGTGGTGTCACGTGTAATTGTTTGAAAACTCTGCAAATGTTTCAGCTGGGTGCAGAGAAACTTGGAAAAACTCTTGCAGTCCAGAAAGCAAACTCTATTCCCGGCTGCATCAAAGGGGTAATGGGCAGTAAATCAAAAGAGGTAACTGTCCCTCTCTACTCTTGACTCCATCTGTGGTATGTATCCAGCTCTGGGCCCCCCAAAATAAGAGGGATGTGGACCTGTTAGGAGACCACAAAGGTGGTCAGTGGGCTGGAGTAACTGTCCTTTGAAGACAGACTGCAAGAGGTGAGGCTGTTCAGCCTGGAGAAGAGAAGGGTTCAGGGTGACCTTATAGCACCTTCCAGTAACCAAAGGTACGACAAGAGATGGAGAGGGACTTTTTACAAGAGCATGCAGTGACAGGACAAGGAGAGAATGGTCTTAAACTGAAAGAGGGTTGGTTTAGGCTTGGTCTTAGGAAGAAATTCTTTACTGTGAGGGTGGTGAGTCACTGGAGCACGTTGCCCAGAGAAGCTGTGGATACCCCATCCCTGGCAGCGTTCAGTGCCAGGTTGGATGGAGCTCTGAGCAACCTGATCTAGTGGGAGGAGTCCCAGCCCGTTGTGGGCGTTTGGAACTACCCAAGCCATTCTGCGATCCTAAGCCATTCCTGCTCAGTGGCTGCAGCCGGCCCTTTCCCAAGAGGCCTCCCGGGCAAGGCCAGCTGTTGCCAAAGGAGTTTCTGCACAGGCTGGACGCTGCAGGGAGCGCCGCGGGGCAGCCCCAGAGSCTGCTTGAACATTTTTCGTAACAGTATTTCCAAGTTTCACGGCCGTGTAATGAAGAAATACACTTGTATAACAGTGTAGCGGGGGAGATGGGTTTGAGCCTGAGATCGGTTTCCCGCAGTGGAGAMCGTAGCCGCGGTGCCAGGCTGAAATCTCGGCCCTGGAGCTGCAGCGTTCAGCCTGTAGCCATTTTCCAGCCCGGTGTTTGTACACGGAAATGCCCAGGGCCGCTCGGGCAGGGCACGATGCTGGAGGCGGCGGCTGCAAAGCTGCAAAGGTATGAGCAGGAAAGGAACCAGCTGGAAACACAGGTTCATTTTGCAATGGTTGAGGCGTTTGGGTAACCCCGAGTTTCGGGTGCCTTGGCGCTGATTTGAGGCTCGAAGATGCTGTTGGAGCCCTTCCAGAGGGTGAGGACGGTTCTGCCCCCGCCAGCCCGGTTCTCCCCGGCGGGGAGCGGAGCGCTGGCCCGCCCTCCGAGGGGGTGGTGCTGGCGGCGGCGGTGCGGCGGGCCGGGAGCGGAGGATGCTGCTGCTGCTGCTGCTGCTGCCGGCGCTTCTGCTGCTGCTGCCGGCGCTGGCTGAGGGGCAGAGGGCGGCGGTGCTGCGGCTGGGGCTCCGGGGCAGCCCCCGGGCCGAGGTGAACCCGGCTTTCCTCTCCCTCACCCTTGACGCCAGCCTCGCCCGGGACCCGCGCTATGTCGCCTTGCTCAGGTGAGCCGCCTCTCGCCCCTTCGGGCCAAGGAAAAAGGGTCTCGGGGAGACGGCCATCCCAGCGGGGAATCGGCAAAAGCGCTATCGAGAGAGCTGGGGGGAATGGGGAGCCCCCCAACCCTGGAACTGGGGTAGGGGAGAGACTGCTGGATCGTCTCTGCTCCGGGATTCACAAATTCTATCCTCCCAGGGCAGAAGGCGGTACCTTCCGCAGGTGCGAGCCGTGCCGACTTGTTTGTGCTCGGGGAAGGAGTGGCTGGCTGGGTGAATGCA